GGTCTAGATTTTCCCATCTAGACCGGCATCTAGACCGGTCTAGAAAAAAGAAGGTACAAAGAATATAAAAAATTGGCATATGAGACACAGCCATATAACAAACATCTTATTAACCGAGCTAGGTCGGTTTGTATGGGAGAATCTTGACCTCGGTCAAGATTCTCCCATACAGACCTCCCGCTCGGTTAATAAGAACTAAGTAATTAACAAACACTCATTGATAGGCTATGTTGACAAAACACTAGATCAATAGAAATCAATTCAAAGTGTGTGTTTATAGCAAATTTTCCTTAGAAAGTAGTCGAAGTCTGATCTAGATGTTTACTAACTGAATGAACTTCAAACGCAGACCAATGAAAAGTGTAAGATTTCACTGCCATGAACGACGTAGGTAGTCTTTAAACTTCGTGATATTTTTTATTCTGCATCATTGATCGTGAACAGACATCAGCTTTTTGTCCGTAAGTGATTAGCCTCACGCAAAATGCCAGCACTGCACAATACCAGTGGGCGTCAACTTTACAAATGGGTGGCTTTTTTGTTTTCGATCCAAGCACTTTTACTTCGTTACAATGACACCCAATAGAAAACCAGGATGCGCAAAGCGTCTTATGAATTTTGGTTGTTTCCGATCTACGTCTGTTGGTGTAAAAGGAGAAAGAGTTAAAAAGCCAACGAACTGATAGTAGCGAGATCTTTAAGGCTACCAACTGAACCATGTTCAAGTTCATGGTATTCTTCCTTTTTTGCAACAGCGCTCTCTCTCGAGAGACGGGTGAGACCCCAGCTCGAGAAAGGGCAATTCAACGAGAGCTGCTGAAATTCGAGGCTGACAGGGTAGCTGCGGTATGCAGTAAAGAAATTGAAGACCAGGACACTTCCAAGAAAGTTAGCATAGGTAAATTCTGCTACAAATTAATTAACCTAGCGGTTTTATACGATTTTTACCCGGTAACTGGTAATCCTCCAACTCAATCGCTAGATTAACAACCATTTTTATTAATAAAATTCGTCTCGCCTTGACACCTGATTGACAAAGCTGTACCACTAACTTGCACGTTTTGTGCTTAGGAGTTCCAGCTTTGCATGTTTTGCTTGAAAATTTGCAACCTTGGAGTCAAATCCTCTTTGGCATATCAAGGGTTCTTTTACCGTTAGGACGAGTTGAATTAAGTAGTTCTGATGAAGACGAAAACAGTCATCAGTAGATTTTGCAAGGGTCCATTGAGCATGGAACTACAACAACGAGAATTTGTAGACACCGACTAAAGATAACCGCATCATATAACTACAGCACCACACATTTCAAGTGATCTCCCTCAGCATGCTAAGATCATTCATCCTCGTAACTTCCCGAAAGAACACAACCTCCAAATATGATGAATTTTGTTTGGTTTGGCGGAATCGCACGAGAGTCGCGTAGCACGGCAGGGCTTGTCAAACTTAACTGCTTGCCGAACTTAATCAAAAAATTAATTCAGAGGCCGTTCTTCTGTGGTGCTTTTGCCGAGCTTAATTTCTGAATGGAGTTCTACACGTCAGGGAACACGGCGTCTTAACTGGGCCTAACAATTTATTCTCGTAACTTTCATACATACATACATAACTTTATTTGATAACGCAGGTTAAAAATTTACGAAACTTTACAGCTGATGTGGACCTGCCAAAAGTAATTAGTCTATAATTATATAACATGCAAATATGATACAATTTATAAGTTGAATAAATTAAGTAAACCATAAAATTTTTAGTAATAGTGAAAATTTGTTTCATGTTTTGTATAACATTACCTCCCTTTCAAAATTAATATTCATGACAGTTTGCTTGGATTGTTTTAAGTTATATTTAAAAATAGATAAGTTTGGAGAATCTTTAAGATTATCTGGTGGTGCATTCCATGCTACTGCAGATCTATGAGCAAAGGACCTATGACCCAGTTCGGTTTTGGGCCTATTAAGTACAACGGCATTCAAGGATTTCCTTAGGTTATAGCTGTTAGAGTTCTTGATCACCAAACAATTCATTTCCCGCAACCCTAAATTATAATAAGCATTATATGTAATAGTTAAGATACGGAGCTTATAAAAATACTCTAAAGGCATCCAGCCAACCTTAGAAAGTACATCACTATCCTTAAAACTATTTGGTAACTTATGAATCAGCCTAGCAGCCCTGATGTGAATCATTTCTAGATCTTTAAGCCGTGGGTCGAGACCCCTAAATCACAATTCCATATAGAACACTTGGAATAACTATCCTATGGTAAAAAGTCTCCAAGATAGATGTATATAGGAAATTTATACGTCTCAACATTTTGACTTTGGTATTAAATGCAGATCTAGCCAATGCAACATGCTGAGACCAAGAGAGTTTATCATCAATTGTAACCCCAAGGCAATTGGTGGAGGACACATACCGAATGGTGTCCGCACCCCACTTCAGCTGTTTCAAAGGACCTTTGAAGGGGGTGGTACTGAAGACCATTGCCTCGGATTTACCTTCATGTAGAATCAGTCTGTTACTAAGACACCAGGAAATAACCTGGTCCAAAACAGCCTGTAACCCTGTTGTTGTGTCATCAACAGTATTCCCCACTACATACATTGCGGTGTCGTCAGCACAATATACGTGCTGACGACACATCGACTGTGACGCGAGTAGGACTGTGGGAGTAGCACATCGACTGTGACGCGATAACGCAATCCCGTCAAAATACCTCAGCATGATTTATGAATTTTGTTTGGCTGGTTTTAATCCCTGTCGCGTCACAGTCGTGTAGCACGGCCTGCTGAACTTAATTCAGTAAAAAGTTGAATTCAGCCGCCGTGCTTCTTCTGTGCTTTTATCGAATAGAATTTCTGAATTTACTTCTTCACGGAAGTAGCACGGCGTCTGAACTGGACCTCAAACATCTAAACCATAATAACCTGATCTGGTGAGAGCACGTTGTAACAAAAATTAATGACGTTCTTGGGTGAAAGGACATCGGCTACTTTCTCTCGGTCACTGAAGTAGGAAATTTTGTCAGGTGTCTCCTCTCTAACTGATGAATAAAATCTTGATTGGGTTTAAATTGAATCGCGCAGTTTACACACAGAAGTCATAGTTTCCACACAGTCCACGGACTGTGTTAACTGTCTTTTTTTTCTTTATATATGGCAACACTGTAGGAGTACGCATGCGGCGTATAACATATCGAAGTTGTGGTGAAGTATCGTACAATCCGACATCTTCCACATGCTGCGCTGATCGGGTGGTACGAAAATCGGGTTTGACCTCCTCGTGCTGTGGAGCCAAAGCTTACGACACAAGATCCAGCATGTGTTGCGGTGATAAAGTTTTTAGAAATTCATTCTCAGCCTGCTGTAGTTCTCAACCCTACGACAAACGATTACAAATATGCTGTGGTGGAAAAATATTCGGTAAATCTGGCTTTACCTCAGGCTGTTGTGGTTCACGATCCTACGACTCAAGAAGACAATTTTGTTGTGACGGTGAAGTGGTTGGTAGATCGGTTCCAGCATTGGCCTGTTGTGGATCTCAGTCCTACGACAAAAGATTCCGAATGTGCTGTGCCGATAAAATAGTCGGTAAATCTGGCTTAACCTCAGCCTGTTGTGGATCTCAGTCCTACGACACAATAGGCCGTATGTGTTGCGCCGGTAAAATACTGAGTAAATCTGGCTCAACCTCAGCTTGCTGCGGTTCACAATCCTACGACAAAATATTCCAATGGTGTTGTGCCGGTAAAATAGCCAATAAACTGCGATCACACTCAGCCTGTTGCGGCTCCCTCTCCTACGACAAATTAACCGGGATGTGTTGTGCCGGTCAAATAGTTCGTAAATCGCGTTTTATCTCAGCCTGCTGTGGTTCACAATCCTATGACGCGAGAAGCCGATTGTGCTGTGCCGGCAAAATAGTCAGTAAATCGAGTCCATATTCAGCTTGTTGTGGATATCAAACCTACAACAAAAGATCCCGAATGTGTTGTGCCGGGCAAATAGTTGGTAAACCGAGCGTAATCTCCACCTGTTGTGGCTCAAAATCGTTCGACAAAAGATTCAAAATGTGCTGTGATGGTGAAGTCCAAGCTAAGTCGGGTGCGAGCCTCGCTTGCTGTGGATCTCGCAGCTTTGACAGAAGATTCCACAAATGTTGTCATGTTCAGGTGCAGTCGCGTTGTTAATCGAGAACATGAGCGGTCGCTTAGTTAATTAAGAACGTGACTGATTTCAACCACTGACCGATGCTGGCATCTCCCGGCGCACGTGATTTTTCTTTTTCTTTTTGTGATCGATTGAAGCAAAAGCTGTGATTTATATTCCTTAAAGTTTAATTTTCACCTTCAAAAAATGATTTCTAGCCAGTAAATTTAAGTCAGTATAGTTATTGGAAGTCCTTTATTCTAAAATCTCTCTTTTTTTAAACTGTCAATGTTATTGCTTCTTGGAAGAACGCAAGTGTATGGTTATCAATCCACACGAGGCTTAATAAATGCGTTGGATAAAACTCTAGAAGTTGAGTGTCTCATCCTTTCTTACTTTAATATTGTATGAAATCGTATTTTCAAATACAAATCTAACAAACATCGTCCCTTAAAGCGACTTGATCGATTCCTTAGTATTGGATAGCCTTAACTGGTTGGCTTATAGCCCAGCCGAGACCGAACTGACACATCCAAGATTGGAATTCAATGGCAACAGTGAGAGGTTGCCTTGCAGATAAGAAAAAGATTGGGGTCCCGCCCAATCGTATCAAGAGTTTCAAAGACACCCTATATCATTATTTGTCATTCATCATGGTGAAAACTTGCGTATTACGGTACAAAAATTGGGTGGAAACTTATGGAAGTTCTTTTGGTAGACGAGTAACATGAATTACGAATCAAACCTGCATTAAGCGGTCACCCTGTTTTTAGCGGTCATTTGTTAAAGTCCCGAACCTTTTACCCTTAGGATGCATTCTCCCCTAAAAACAGTAAAAAAAAACGGTCCGCGATGCATTTCGGTTCGAAAATTTAGATTTCTTTCAAACTTTGCCCGTGAATCTGTCTTAGTCTAAAAGTCATCAAAACTACCCTGATTTGTTTTTAAAAATTTTCAGAATGATATTTTTTCTAGCGAAAATCACTTCAGCGCTCCAAGGGTCGTTATATCAAAAATGTATATCGCGCTTTGCCTTCTCCGAAAAACCGAAAAGTTCAAAATATGCCTTAATGGCTGTTGTCTCCCCCGTATAAAAGTGAAATATGCACCTACAGTTAACTACGAGCAGTGTTCATCTTATCATGTATTTTAAACCTGTAAACTTGCAATAAACTGCTATGATAAACTATAAACAAGGAACATAGCTTCTATTCCTTTTTTCATGGGATCATCTGAAATTCCTAAAGAGTAACAACGCCGTCACATATTCAAGGAAGGTGCGAGCTTTTTTCTTTGCTTTCAGCGGTTTAAAAGAAAGGGCTGTTAAAACAAATGTAGGAGATGCTTCTTTGCAGAACGAATAAATGGCTGTGAACATGACCCAAAGAAGTGAAGTGCGAGGTACGTCGATCCTTGAAAGTTGTTTCATCTCAAGCTAAGTTTCTTTTCTCTTTCATCCTCTTTCATAGTTTTTCGTTCAAATAGAGGATTTTTGTTCGATCTTTTATTTGAAATCTTGTTTACATAAGAAACGGCGAGTACAACAGGGACTTCAGATTATAATAGATTATCATAGAGCTGGGATACATTGAAAGGTGTATAATAATTAATAATTAATAATAATAATTATTAGTAATTCTCTAAGGTGGAGGTCACCCGGGTGTATAAATGGGTACTGGCAAATTTAATACTGGGGGGTAACCCTGCGATGGACTGGCATCCCATCCAGGGCGGGGGGAGGGGGAGTAGAAATACTCCTAGTCGCATCATGCTACAGAAAACGGAGTTAAGCACCGGCCTAGCCTGATGGACCACTGGCTCGTAAACAGACTTTACCAAGGCAGAGGTGAATAGTGGTGCTTCACGACTTGGTAAATGTCCATCACACACATTCACCGATACTGAGGTGGATCATTGTTTTAGTATATACCACACAGATACCAAAAAAATCGTTTATTTCTTTCAATATATATATATCAAAAATGGTCGGAAATTAAACTCTTGACGCGTGGTTTTGTCTCTTCGGTTGCTTGGAGATGAATATAGTACCTGTATTCATTTACGAAATAGCCAATCAGCGCGCGTGAAAAGCACTATTCTCATAAGTGGTACATACTAATCACATTTATTATATCGTTGAGTACACACTGGCTACGGTTGCAAGTTATTTCGACGGCCGTATTTCACTGAACAACCTATTAAAGCTTGTTTGAATTGAAATAATCCCATTCTATTTGAAACCAAAGATTTAATAATTATTTTACTAACTTCGAATACTTGGTCTGTATCCTATATTACAGAATCATGCTTTTTCCGCTGGGATGTATGGCCCATGCGTTTCACACCTTAAATTCGATCGGAAAAAAACGAGGTACAGAACGAGAACTCGATCAGAAAGAGATACACAAAAATAAGACTTCAAATTACAGCAGATTATCCTACAGCTGCCATATTGTGAAAGCTGTAGAATAATCGAATCAGCATTAGAATCGAGACTGACCTAGGCAACATCTACGGAAATTTGCATTGTATCCTTGCGAGCCTCAACATTTGAAACTGCTACCATATTTTCTCACCACTTTTCCAAAGCAGCACATCTCAGTGTTTGCTTGGTATCCTTGCCTGCCACAACATATGGAGCTGCTGCCATATTTCCTCACAACTGTACCAGCGCAGCACATCTGAGTGTTTGCTTGGTATCCTTGCCTGCCACAACATCTGGAGCTGCTGCCATATTTCCTCACAACTGTACCAGCGCAGCACATCTGAGTGTTTGCTTGGTATCCTTGCCTGCCACAACATCTGGAGCTGCTGCCATATTTCCTCACAACTGTACCAGCGCAGCACATCTGAGTGTTTGCTTGGTATCCTTGCCTGCCACAACATCTGGAGCTGCTGCCATATTTCCTCACAACTGTACCAGCGCAGCACATCTGAGTGTTTGCTTGGTATCCTTGCCTGCCACAACATCTGGAGCTGCTGCCATATTTCCTCACAACTGTACCAGCGCAGCACATCTGAGTGTTTGCTTGGTATCCTTGCCTGCCACAACATCTGGAGCTGCTGCCATATTTCCTCACAACTGTACCAGCGCAGCACATCTGAGTGTTTGCTTGGTATCCTTGCCTGCCACAACATCTGGAGCTGCTGCCATATTTCCTCACAACTGTACCAGCGCAGCACATCTGAGTGTTTGCTTGGTATCCTTGCCTGCCACAACATATGGAGCTGCTGCCATATTTCCTCACAACTGTACCAGCGCAGCACATCTGAGTGTTTGCTTGGTATCCTCGCCTGCCACAACATCTGGAGCTGCTGCCATATTTCCTCACAACTGTACCAGCGCAGCACATCTGAGTGTTTGCTTGGTATCTTTGCCTGCCACAACATCTGGAACTGCTGCCATATTTCCCCACAACTGTACCAGCGCAGCACATCTGAGTGTTTGCTTGGTATCCTCGCCTGCCACAACATCTGGAGCTGCTGCCATATTTCCTCACAACTGTACCAGCGCAGCACATCTGAGTGTTTGCTTGGTATCCTTGCCTGCCACAACATCTGGAGCTGCTGCCATATTTCCTCACAACTGTACCAGCGCAGCACATCTGAGTTTTTGCTTGGTATCTTTGCCTGCCACAACATCTGGAGCTGCTGCCATATTTCCTCACAACTATACCAGCGCAGCACATCTGATAGGTTGTATCGTATCCTTGTGAACCGCAACGAAATATACTGCGACTTGTACGCATCTTTGATATTCCATTGCCTGAGGGAAAATATAAACACCTTATTTGATGGTTTAACATGTACATATAATACTTGGGAATATTTTGCGAGTTTATTAATAAGTGTTAACGTGCGATGAACAAATTTTAGTTCGCGAAATATTTCACACGGCCATATGTATCTCAGCATCTTATCGATTTTCCAAGGCGTACGTGACAAACAATAACAAAACGAAACGAAACCATACGAAACCATAAAAAGTGTTTTTGTGATTAGCAAAAAGAAAAAAAAATGATGCGCGGTTGTTTTGTAGCTTTTCGTCCGTATATAACCCTGTTTCCAGTATAATTACGTAGTATTTTCTGTTGTTTCCGGTGCTCTACCATTGCAAAATGGGGTAGAAGTGGAATAGTTGCAACCAATATACGGTTAACTCCGTTTAGCCTTCAAGAGGAAAGATATAAAAGCATTGACAAGTCACTGACTTGAATACTACTCTATATGATACCGCTTCCGTTTTCTCATACTCGGAGACCCAGGGGCTGTGAGTCGATTTCAAGTTAAGGGCAGAAGAGCCCCTGGGGACATTGTCTTACAAGACTAGTTCTAAACGGTCGCAGTAGTTCTGGCATCTGATTGGTGCCAGAAAATCTTTGTGTTTTTCTGCCCAATCAGAGTGAAGTGTCCTTTGGAGTCCTTTCGTGTGTTTATATAGACCACTTTCATAAATGGCTGCCGGATTAATATTCTTTTGTTCAAATTTAAATTAGCTCTACTGGCCTCGTTCTCAGGTGCAAAATTCAAAAGAAAACATTATCTCAAGCGAGGCCAGTAGGGCTAATATAAATTTAAATAAAAGAATATTTATACGGCAGCCATTTATGAAAGTGGTCTATACAACAAGCTCTGTTGCTCGCTATGTTCGTTTGGGCCGTGCGACGAAGCTTTGCCCGAGGTGAAAAGTTTCAGTCTCAGCGCACAGTGTAAGAGAAATCGATCAAATTGTCTGCGAAATCTTACCGGAAATTATACTGAATACTTTCGCAGGTATCACAAGAGTGAAAT